CTGACTAATACTTTTATTAACTCCACACCTTCTAATAATTTCCACACTCTGAATTTTCTGCATAATATTTACACCACACCTTGCTCTTAGACAGGACATATCCCCCTGCCCCCAACGCCTCCCGCTGCTGCATTCACAACCAAGCTCACCCATATAAGAGTGTCGGTACTACTATACTTTCAACATTCCCTTCTTTCCCTTTTTTAAAAATATAAAAACCTGGTGACATTCACACCCCTGTCTAAGCCTATTTTTCCCCGGGAAAAGTAGTCCCCCTTTCCCTTCTAAAACCCCAAACCTGGCCTCACTATCCTCATAAAAACTCTTTACAGCATTTAGTACTTACCCCCTTTTCCCATATACTTGCAACATTGCCACTTTGCCCCCCTTCCACTCTATCTTCCCCTTTTCAAAATCCAAAAATGAAATAAAAACTTTCCCTTTTTTAAAATACTGTTCACATTTTTGCTTAAATGTAAACACTTGATCTACAGATCCCTCCCCACTCTGAAACCCCCTTGCTCCCCGCAATCCACATTCGACTTACCTTTAATTTTTAAATTTCCCCCTACCGTACCTTTCCTGGTATACTCAAAAACTTTTTCCTCTATAATTTTTAAAATCTCTTTTGTCCCTTTCCCTTTTTAAAAAGGGGGATATCATGCTCTCCGAAAATCCCTAGGTCCCTTCCCCTCTTTCAATATTTTTTTAAACAAAATTCCCAAACCATCCAACAAAATTCCCCCCTGCTTTTAAAATTTCTGTTTTATCCCATAGTTCCGCTGCCCTTTTCCCCCTTTTATTTACGTAATGCCTCATTACCTCCCCCCCTTTACATTCCGCTCTTCTTCATCCTAAAAGATGGGGTACCCCCTGACCGGCATGAAATTACACCCCCTTTCTCCCCCAACATTTAAAAAATTCCTCAAAATTTCGCCTCTACCCAATACCCCCTCTCCCCATCTACTAACTCCCCCCTCTGTTTTTAACTGACAAACCATCTTTCCCCAGGCTTTCTTAAAATCGTTTAACCATCCAAAAATTTTTTTTTTTTTCATTAAAATTTTTTGACAGGCCCCTCCCCCTCTATCATCTGCTCCCTTTTTTCACTCTCTCACCACTCTTTCCCTTTCTTTTACTCTCCATATACTCTACCCTTTTTAACACTTTGCTTTGTAAAAACTCTCAAAGCTAAATTTTTTTTCCTTTTTACACCTTTTTTCATCATTCCACCAATCACTCCCCTTTCCCCCGCCCCCCCCCTCCTATAACCCCAAAATTTGCCCCCCAAATTTTAAACTGCTTTTTAAAAATATTTCCCAAAACCCTTTTAACCCCCCCCCTACTCTCTTTGCCAGCCCCCCTTTCTGCCAACAGTCCCTTTTTTTCTCCCCCCAACTTCCCCTCCCCTTTGTTTATACACTTTCACCTCCCTCTTACTTGTTGTTGCCCCTTCCTCTTTCCCATTACCTTTACTCTAACTGTATACAACTAAATAATGATCCCATTATCATTGCCCCTTTTAAAATGTAATCCTGGAGCCTCCCATCAACCTTTTTTCCCCCAAACATAACAACAAAATACTTTTATTTCTCTACATCATACCTTGTATTTTATTTTCCCCCCCTTTTTCATAAAAAATTATTACTTATTTCCAAATCCTTTCTACCATAGCCAATTAAAAAACTCCCCTTTACATTTTCCCCTGGCAGCCCAAATTTACCTATTACTCCCTCCATAACATTTGTACCCACTTTAGCATACTATAACCCACTTTTCCACATCCAATCTTATTTTACTCCACATAATCCTTGAATTAATACATTTATAGTCCCTCTTTTCCTGTCATAGCTTATCCTTCAACATTATTGCTACTCCTTCTTTAGCTCTAACTCTATTTGAAACCCCTGACCTAATCCCATTTATTCCTCTCCATTGAAACTCTCCCACCCCCTTCAGCTTCATTTCACTTAAAGCCAGGACATCCACTTCTTCTCATTCATAACATCCAAAATCATCTCTTTCTTATCATTTGCACAACATCCACGCACATTCAGACTTCCCACTTTGACAATTTTCTTCTTCTTATTCCTTTTAGTAATCTTTACAGGAAAAGGGGTTACTAGCCCATTGTTCCCAGCATTTTAATTGACTTTTACAACACGCATGGCTTACGGAGGAAAGATTCTTATTCCACTTCCCCATGGATATAAAAGGAAAAGTAATAAGACCAAGAACTATTAAGATAAAATCAAAGAAAACTCAGATGAGTGGGGTATAAATAAACGTGTACATGTATGTGTAGTGTGACCTAAGTGTAAGTAGAAGTAGCAAGACATACCTGTAATCTTGCATATTTATGAGACAGACAAAAGACACCACAATCCTACCATCATGTAAAACAATTACAGGCTTTTGCATTCACTTGGCAGGACGGTAGTACCTCCCTGGATGGTTTTCTGTCTACCAACCTACTACATACATCACACACACACACACACACACACACACACACACACACACACACACACAGAGCGAGAGAGAGCGAGAGAGAGCGAGAGAGAGCGAGAGAGAGCGAGAGAGCACGAGAGAGAGCGAGAGAGAGCGAGAGCGAGAGAGCGAGAGAGAGCGAGAGAGAGCGAGAGAGCGAGAGCGAGAGCGAGAGAGAGCGAGAGAGAGCGAGAGAGAGCGAGAGAGCGAGAGGAAGAGAGGAAGAGAGCAAGAGAGCGAGAGAGAGAGAGAGAGAGAGAGAGAGAGAGAGAGAGCGAGAGAGCGAGAGAGAGCGAGAGAGCGAGAGAGCGAGAGAGAGAGAGAGAGCGAGAGAGAGAGCGAGAGAGAGAGCGAGAGCGAGAGCGAGAGAGAGCGAGAGAGAGCGAGAGAGAGCGAGAGAGAGCGAGAGAGAGCGAGAGAGAGCGAGAGAGAGCGAGAGAGAGAGAGGGTGAGAGAGCGAGAGAGCGAGAGAGCGAGAGAGAGAGAGAGAGAGAGAGAGAGAGAGAGAGAGAGAATGATAGTGCCAAAAAGATACTAGAAATTTTTTTTACAAAGGAGTGGAACAAAAGAATAGTTGTAATTTTCATGGCGGTACCGACAGACCATGGAGAGGGACACTTACGTACTTATGTACAGTTCAGGACATTTATTGCTGTTAATGTTTTGCCACGAATAGCTGATGAAGCCATTTGTGGGATAATGTTTCCTTTAGTAAATTTCCTGAACTGTACACGAGTGTTTTTTTCACAACAATGGATGGGATACAAAAGGAAGCAGCAAATGCTACAACCACTGGATTTTTAAAATATTATGTTAGATTCATTAAATACTGATGATGCGACATCACAAACATTGATATGCTCCTGTAACTACAAATCAGTAATCATATATGGTGCCATCTAGGTAGTAGGTTGGTATTCAGTAATTTCCTAGGGAGGTACTACCGTCCTGCCAAGTGAGTGTAAAATGAAAGCCTGTACTTATTTTACATGATGGTAGGATTGCTGGTGTCTTTCTTCTGTCTCATAAACATGCAAGATTTCAGGTACATCTTGCTACCTCTACTTACACTTAAGTCACGATACGCATGCATGTACAAGCGTATATATATATACACACCCCTCTGGGTTTTCTTTTATTTTCTTACAAGTTCTTGTTCTTGTTTATTTTCTCTTATCTCCATGGGGAAGTGGAACAATTTTTCCTCTGTAAGCCATGATTGTCGTAAGAGCCGACTAAAATCCGGAAGCAAGGGGCTAGTAACCCCTTCTCCTGTATACATTACTAAAGTTAAAAAGAGGAACTTTTGTTCTTTTTGGGTTACCCTGCTTTGGTGGGATATGGCTGGTTTGTTGAAAAAAAATATATATATATATATATATATATAAATATTTGAGGTAGTAGGTTGGTAGACAGCAACCGCCCAGGGAGGTATTACCGTCCTGCCAAGCGAGTGTAAAACGAAAGCCTGTAATTGTTTTACATGATGGTAGGATTGCTGGTGTCTTGTGTCTGTCTCATAAATATTCAAGATTACAGGTACATCTTGCTACTTCTACTTACACTTAGGTCACACAAAACATACATGTACACGTTTATTTATACACACTCATCCGAGTTTTCTTTGATTTTATCCCAATTTGCTGAGGATTGAGGAGTTTCTTATTGCGAGGCATGGTGAGCAAGGTGTACTAAAATGGCGTTCCCACAATACACCACTGGGTCCCCGAATTTTTTCCTACCGCGCACACTGACCACGCAGACCCATTCTCTCACATCTAGGCCTACCAGCTGTTTCCCGCTTAATTTGAAGCCGCTAGAATTTACGCGTGTACTAGTACAGCACCATCCTTGGCACGCAAGCCGTACTAGTACAGCACCAACCCTGAAAGGGTTAAAGGAGGGGTTTGGGATATTGGCAGTTTGGAGGGATGTGTAATAGGACAGTATATATATAATTGGGGCCCTGATATTATATTCTATATGGTAAATAGTATAGTTTATTATATTATTTTAGGTCACTTTTTATATTGTATCTTTATATATGCTTCTAAGCTGTTGTATCTGGGTGCCTTTGCAAAAACAGTGATTATGTATGAGAGGTGAAAGTGTTGAATGACGATGAAAGCATTTTCGGTTTGGGGATTTTCTTTCTTCTTGGGTCAACCTGCGTAGGTGGGAGATGGCCGACTCGTTGGAAAAAAAAATGTATATATATATACATGTATATATACATACATGCACAGTTATGAGAAAGTAAAAACAAATGCCAAGACAAAAAACCCAGTTGAGTTTTAAGAACAAATTTTCTCATATTTGAGAGCTGTAGTACTGTTCATAAGCCCAAATATTTTTCTCAAACAGCAAATCCTTGAGGAATGCATAATCATTTAATACACTTTTACCTCTCTAAATAAACAGAATATTCTTTTAAATGAATGCTATCTAGATATTTGAACATAGAGCACAATGCTACTGTACTCCAAGCATACCACTCTCACAAAACATACCGCATCAGAGTCTGCCGGTGTATGCATATCACAGTATGCAGCCTTGCGCACAGTAACAGATGTCCCACTGACACTCGTCTCTCTCACTGCATCAATCTTCATGTGTAGCCCAGCTTGTTGAGCACAAGTCACATGAAACGCTGAAAGCACACACAAACAAATTTCTCACATCATAAGCTTAAAAATACAGCATATGGCAAAAATATTTCCTATTACCAAGGCAATTTTTTTAATTTATGATTTTGGGATTATGCGGAGTGCTGTATGAAGAAGAAAAGCTATAATAATAATAATTATTGTAGTTAAAACTTGCTTGCATAAAAGTGTCATGAATATTGACTGATGAAAGTTGAGAAAACATTGGAATGGAAAGTGAAAAGCCAATAAATGATCTCTCTTAAACCATATGTCATTTTTTGGCCTACAAGATTTCTGATTATAACACTTTTTCAATGATATACTAAAGTAAAAGGACACAAGTGCAACTAATGTGACATTTTATTGTGGCAACGTTTTGCTCTCCAGGAGCTTTATCAAGCCATTACAAACAATACATGGACACAGAGGGTATATAAAGGCTCAGAGTGAGGTGCAATACTAGTGAGGCACCATTTCGATGTTCACTAGTGGTAGTAGTAGTAGTAATGACAAAAGTAATACAATATGGTAGAGCAATTAATTCGTACATGAGTAAAAGGATATAAAAGCTATTACTTGGGTAACATAAAAATAGGTTGGACAAATATAGACTGGAAAGAGGCAGGTTTTTCAGTGTTCACTCTCTGTAATGTGCTTTGTGTAGTATAACAGGAGAGATTATGTGATGGCAGGGTTTACTGTTTTCAGGAGGATTCTTGCTAAGACTTCAGAGATGGTGAAGCTGCCGTTGTTTTGTTTAATTGTATTCGAACCAGCGATCAGTGCTGATTCGAGGCACTTGCGTCTGCGGAAATTAGTTTCTTTGATCACTAATTGGGCGTCTCTGAATTTCATGAGATGATTGGTGGAATTTCGGTGCTGTACACAGGCGTTGTTCAAGTTATCGTTCCTACATGCGTAAATGTGTTCATTGAGGCGGGTGTCGAGGTTTCTTGCTGTTTCACCTACATAAATCTTGTCACAGCCTCCACAGGGTATAGTGTAAACTCCTGCATTGACTGGTTCGTGGTGCTTGGATTTTGTCCTGGTTAGATCCTTTATTGAAGTGATAGAAGCAATGGCGACTCTGGTATTAGCCTGTGAAAGTACTTTTGAGACGTTCAGTGCAACTTGGCTGTTGGGAAGAATTATAACTTTGTTGGGAGTGGTGTTGATGCGTGGAGAATTAATGATCTGAAGAGCTCTTTTCTTGCAGTCTTTGATGAAAAAAGAAGGAAAATGTAACTCAGTGAATGTTTGGTGAATGTATGTACATTCCTCGTCAAGAGGAATGTACATACAGGGTATAGTTTACACTATACCCTGTGGAGGCTGTGACAAGATTTACGTAAGTGAAACAGCAAGAAACCTCGACACCCGCCTCAATGAACACATTTACGCATGTAGGAACGATAACTTGAACAACGCCTGTGTACAGCACCGAAATTCCACCAATCATCTCATGAAATTCAGAGACGCCCAATTAGTGATCAAAGAAACTAATTTCCGCAGACGCAAGTGCCTCGAATCAGCACTGATCGCTGGTTCGAATACAATTAAACAAAACAACGGCAGCTTCACCATCTCTGAAGTCTTAGCAAGAATCCTCCTGAAAACAGTAAACCCTGCCATCACATAGTCTCTCCTGCTATACTACACAAAGCACATTACAGAGAGTGAACACTGAAACAACCTGCCTCTTTCCAGTCTATATTTGTCCAACCTATTTTTATGTTACCCAAGTAATAGCTTTTATATCCTTTTACTCATGTACGAATTAATTGCTCTACCATATTGTATTACTTTTGTCACTACTACTACTACTACCACCACTAGTGAACATCGAAATGGTACCTCACTAGTATTACACCTCATTCTGAGCCTTTATATACCCTCTGTGTCCATGTATCGTTTGTAATGGCTTGATAAAGCTCCTGGAGAGCGAAACGTTGCCACAATAAAATGTCATATTAGTTGCACTTGTGTCCTTTTACTTTACATATTGTCGGTAATTCTACCAACTTTATTACAATGATATACTAAACTATTTTGAGTTCCAGAAATGTATTTCCCTTCAATAATTAAATATATTTTTCACTGATATTATTGAGAATGTATAGTAATAAACTAATTTTTAAAAGTAATAACTGAAGAACTTCAAAAGCAAACAGAGCTCATCCAGTGGTATGTCATTCCTAAAATTACCATACCAACACACCACTAACCACTGTATCATGCTACCTTAATAAGATTTACCTAACTAGGTATGATTCTACATGCTAGGGAGGTCAGCACAGGACACCACTGTGACTTCAAATTCTGGTGAAGAATTCATACAAGAATAACAAAAAAAGGCACAATACCATGACTGGAACAATACACAAATAAACCGCACATAGAAGAGAGGAGCTTATGATGACGTTTCGGTCTGACTTGAACCATTTACAAAGTCACACTGAGTGTGACTTTGTAAATGGCCCAAGTCAGACTGAAATGTCGTTGTATGCTCCTCTCTTCTATGTGGGGGTTACTTGTGTATTCATACAAGAAACCTGCATTACACTGCGGTCAGTGGTCAAGTGAGGTCACCTGTCCTAAGCTGTCTGGGAATTAGCGTGGGGCGTTACTGAGCACTATGGCTTGCTATAGTGTTTTAGAATCTCAGGTTAAAGTGTTGAAGGAGGAGGTTCTACTCTTTAGAAGGAAAAATAGGAGGCTGAAGCTTAACCTTGATGGGTTTAGGAGCGAGTGTGAAATGGGTGGAGCTGGTAAGGAGGAAAAGGTTACCAGCAGTGAAATGGAGTGTGTCAGCCGCTTTAACCCTTTCAGGGTCCGTCCCGTAGATCTACGGCTTTACGGTGAGTGTCCAAACCGTAGATCTACGCCATGAGCTCAGCTCACTCTGATAAACTGTGAGTGGTACATTTGGGCCTAGATATGAGAGAATACATCTATGTGGTATGTGTGCACCACATAAAACAGATCCTGCAGCACACTGTGTATAATGAGAGAAAAAAACTGAAATCATGATTTTTCGATTAAAACAGCGACTTTGCAGTGCTTTTTTCGTATGTTTTTTTATAGTTGTATTTGCAATTTCTTGTCTCATTTGATAGAATGGAAGACATATTACAGAAATAGAGATGATTTTGATTGGTTTTAGCACTGAAATGGCTTGAAACTGAGCTCAAAGTAGCGGAAATGTTAAATTTTTGCCGATATTCAAGAGTAAACAAACAACCTCACACGTCTAATACACGTCAGCTGGTGGGTCTAATATACATTCACAAATATGGTGATGATATTTATACAATTATTACAGTATTGCATAACAGTAAATCTTCTATTTTTTGGTGTGAATAAAAATTCATTATGTGAATAAAAAATCAAAATGGAATTTATTTGTAAAGCCTCAAAATGTAACTAATGAACAGAGGAAATGTTAGTTTAGTTCCAGGAATACCTACATTGTTTATTCTGGAGCCTATTTTGAAAATTGGAATATTTTGAACTTTGTGTTAAATTGGCCAAATTAACAATTTCCGATCACTTTATTTTGTAGTTGAAACAGTTGATTTGGCGATTTCTTGTGCTCAATCGATAGAACAGAAGTAATACTAGTGAAATAGCCAAGAATTTGGTTGATTGGAATAATGTAATTGGCCTAAAATGGACTCAAAGTCGCAAAAATCGCCGACTCGTAAATATCGCTGACACATCAAAATTCGCAAGAGCATAATTTCATCAATTTTCCACCAAATTTCGTACTTTTTTGTTTTAAATTTCCAAAAAAGTTTTAAAAAAGATTTCTTTTAAGAAAAATAACAATTTTTTTTTTTAAAATTTTTGGGAAACCGGGTGGGATTCAGATTTTGGTTGGACCCAAATTTAAGGGGCAAGGGGGTTCACAATTCGGAAAAAGGGGTTTTTGGGAAAAGTTAAAAGAGAAAACATAAGGGTAGGAAATCATTTCTCTTTCCCCGGGAAAAGTGTACTACAGAGGTTAGTGAAGCAAAGGGTACCACTGACTCCCTTGTTAATCAGGTAAGAAATTCTGATTGTGGGGTCCCCCCAGGTAAGATAGATGGACCATACTTTTTGAAAAGAGATAGGAAGGTCAGACAGAGGGAATGCCTCCCGGAGGGTTTTGGTGACAGTCAGCGGGTTAGATTTTTTTTTTTTCCAAAAAGTCAACCATCTCCCACCGGGGCAGGGTGCCCAGACAGAAAGAAAATTCCCCCAAAAAAAAGAAAATTTTTTCATCTCATTCAACACTTTCACCTCACTTACATAATCACTTTTTCCCGCAGAGGGCCCAGATACAACAGTTAAAGCAAACAAACCAAAAAAATCTCTCAAATAAACATACCCCCTCCAAAGCCAATATCCCGAACCCCTTTTTTAAAAGGCAGGTTTGTATTTCCCCTTTTTTCAGGATCAATCCAGCAAATAAAAAAAACCCCGGTTTTCCCCCTTAATCCCTTCACTAAATTTTTACCCTCTCCACTCCAACAGTTCATCGGGCCCCCAAAAACCATTTTTCCCCCACTCACTCCCTTTTCAACACCTCATCATGCTTGCTGAAGTCCAAGCCCTTCCCCCCACAAAACCTCCTTTACCCCCTCCCTCCCCCCTTTTCCCAAGGATGACCCCTCCCCTGCCCCCCTTCCCATACCGATTTTTTTCGCCTCCATTCTTTCACTTCATCCATTCTAAATGATCAACCCCTCAACAACCCCTCTTCAGCCCCTAAAATTTTATTAAAACCCTCACCTCTCCTAATTTCCACACACTAAATTTCTCTGATAATATTACCCAAACACACTCCCTTAGACAGGACATCCCCAATGCCTCCAACCGCCCCTTACTGCAGCATTTACAACCCCAACTCACAACCATATAAGTTGTTGTACCACTAACTTTTACTTCCCTTCTTTGCCCCCATGGATAACGTTTTTTGTCTCCACATATACCCCAATGCACCACTCACTTTTTTCCTTTA